CCAAACTTCCATGTTCGTGCGCAAAACCCGCACCAGTTTGATCCTGGAACGTGCATCAAAGCTACTTGAATATCCACAGAACAGGGGCTCCCATTCCGTGATTAGGTGACACATGCTCTCCAAGATGAATCCCATTTCTGGGGCTCCTTTGGGTTTAAGGAAAAATTGGTCAAACAACAGTCAAGAAATTTGACAGGGTCTGGTCGTCTATTCTCCCACTCATGAGCAACAGTTTTGTATGGAAGTATCCAAACGGCTTTAGCTGAGTGGTCCAGTATGCTCCATGCCTCAGGAAGCATTGGCTAAAATCCAAACTATCGTCTTAGGGTGAGATAAGATGAGATGAGGGCTCTACTGCACTTGAAAAGAAGAAAAGCTGGAGCTAATCGAAACGTCCTAATAGGTTCCTCTAAACTTTCCTACACGGTCACAGAGCCCATCCCCTCCTCCCTTTTCTAAAACCCTCTATAGCCGAGGTCTACCACTTCGTTCACCGCGGTGTGACCACAAATTGTTGTCAATGTGTCAATCAAACGTCATTATTCAACCCTTTATCAATTATCTTACACAAAAATGGGAGCCGATAAAAAATTTGTTATCAGTGCATATTCAAGTATATAACAATCGTATTGACAATTTTTGGTGGAAATAATAACTGACATCAGCGCTTTTACAATTTTCCAATTAATATTCAACATACTCATTCTATATATCCATTAAATAATTAGCAGGGGTGTCCATGTGCGAACCGCTGAAGTTCCATTGACCCTCCGTTAGAGCATCAACCCATGATTCGAATCAAAACGGCCTAGGTCTGATGCCATATGGACCTGAAGCAGGACGGAGCATTTCGATCCGATCATACTTGTGGTCTAATCTTAGGTAGTGTAATACCCACATCAAATGGGTGGCAACTTACCTCGACCATACGGAGATATCCTAGGCCCTATTATTGGTCCACGCACTGGCCCACGTATCGGTCCACCTATTGGTCCGCGATGATGATGATGACCGTGGTGATGGCCGTGGTGGTAGGGGCGGTATGGTGCTGCTTCAAAAGGTACTGAATACATTAGCACCAGAAGAACTACCAAGATGAAGCTGCGGAGCATGGTAGTATTCCTGAAATAACTCTGGAAAACAATTTTTATTCGGTATAATACCAGAAATTTCAAAAAAAATTAGGAAACAAAACCATGAAGAACCTAGAATCCTAAACAATATAAACCTATCCAGAACGTTCGACTGGAGAGTACTACAAAAAGAGGGTCCTCCTTATGCTTAAACATCTCTCCGCAATACCCAGTGCCATGATGGCGCATACCGAGATTTAGGAAAAAGTCAAGTCCTATGGCAATATTGCCGGGGCATGGCCAAAGGCTTCTCTCATGTCTTGATTGAGTAGAATACTCTACCGTTCTTTACCCTATTCCCTATTTTCCATGACTTCTCGAAGAACCATGTAAGGTGCGTCTTAAAAATATCCACAGAGGGTTTAATGAGACATGAGAATATGTTTCAGGCGAATAATGCAAGGACCCTTCCATAAATCGAGTAAAGCACGAGATTGGGTGAAGGCTTAGAAGCGCGAGCATTGCATGCCTTTACTTAGTACAGCGGGGGTTACAAAAATGCTGAACGAAAAAAGCGCGTGTAGGAATGTGCTGGCTAGGTGTCGTTTCCGTAAATAGAGTCTCAAGCATTCTGATAAGCCGATTTTTTACGCACGTTCATTTTTTGCTACCCTTCAATTGTGATTTTTTACAGATGTAGAAGAAGTCAGGTCCCATTAGAAAAGAGAAGGAGGCTTATCCCTAGCCCGTGTGCCTTTGCATTTTGCTCTTTTCACTTCCCCTCGGTCTCACTTCGATCTACAATTTACTACTCCTATCCAGAAATCGACTTACAGCGCGGAAAAACGTTACAATTTTCCGAAATTCTCAAACACTCAAATTTCGAGTTGTGCCGGATCTCCCCTTATGGCGATACCGACAACCCTCCCCTTCAATACGATCCACCATTCCCTACAGGTGCTATACGCCTTGTTGGGAAAACTCAACGAATGTTTGACCTTCACGCAAAGCATCGCTCCTTATTGAATTCACCAGGGGCAGATCCTGTACGATGCGGTTTCTTGTGGAATCTGAATCAATTCATATTCATGGCTTATCCTATCCAAAAAATATGTACTAACAAAGTTGGACGCTTTTCGCATCGATTTTTCAACTTGTTCCATGTGCTCAAATTACGTTGGGCACCATACAATACGTTGGGGCAATCATTGAATTTCTTTTCAATAGCATTTGCTTCATTATTATGCAGAGCGATGCCGAAGTGTTGATATCAAATTGAGGCGTTTTTCCCTGTATATACACAGCGCAGCCCCAGCTTGATATGGAGGTTCCATATGTAGGCCTGAACGTAGATTGATCTTGCAGATTACGGAGCAATAAAAGAGATCATAAAAAGTGTTTTCTTGGGGTTGTAAGGCTTACTCAAACATTTTCTTTGTTGCTATTTACCTGCTGTTGTAAGATCGATAAGTTAACGAAAATGTGTAGGACAACCTTGCATTTGCTTACATATTTTTGTTAACTATCGATTTTACGACGCCGGATGAATTACGACCACTAGTAACAACGTTCACTAACACCTTTATTTACCCGGTTCTAATAGAACAAACAATTTTAAGCTGTAAAAATCATGAACGAAAGGAAAGATGCAAAAGATCACTTTTTGATTACTCAGAAAGTAAATAATTGTGAAAAAAACACCACTGTTACTAATAATTAAGCACTA